GAATCCTAGCAAAACCTGTACATCAATTTGAAATACCTTGAAAATGACCAACAAGACCAAGATTAAAAACCAGTTGAATATTGAAGGTTAAGAAAAAATATCAAATAATGGATGGTTCTCCTAGCAGCTGGTGCAATTCGTGGTTCATTCACCTCCTCCACGAACCATCATCCATCTGCACTCCCCCGTAGATGGTACGCAACACCTTCCGTTCGAAAACACCAAGGGTGCATTGGACCGTAGAGGACCACCGGTCTAATCAGTGTCTTTTAGATAGTCAACTTCGTACGGCGGCAAATTTAGTTCGACCGGAGCGTCCTCCGGGAGTCCAAAGTAGGCACGATTCCCTGCCATTATGCGTCTTTGAATTTCTCTGCTGGTATCAATTTCGACGATCACCTGTGCGCTCAAATACACGAACTCGTCGACCACCTCGATTTCGTCACCGTCAATCTGAACTTGGGGTGGGAGGTTAACATTGTCTTCCCTAGAACCTCTTCCGCTCATGTATTTCGGCTTCGATGCGTTGATGGCAAGTCCAATCCGCCTAGCTTCAGCCCTCAGTCAGATGGACTTCCTGAAGATCGTGCCACTCTTGCCTATCCGAGCTCTTCTGATCACACCTTCTAACGCGATATTAAATAGCAGACACGAACAGGGTTACTTCCACTCACTTGCTATAAAAAATGTTTTTCAGAATTATGAAATCATGAGATGGTATAGTGATAATTTGTACTTGTAAGTTACAATATGAGTGCGTGAAGTATGTTTTTGACACATAAAGTCTGTCAATATTGCTTTCAGTGCGTCACAATCAGAATTTTTACGACTCGTGAGTGCTCACTCTGAGTGAACGCTCTCGAATCATAAGATCGCTTATTGTGACGCTCTGAAAGCAAAATTGGCAGGTTTTATGAGTCAAACACATACTTTAAACCCTCGTTTCGTGACTTACAAGTACAGCATATAATCATATCATCTAATGATTGCATAATTCTGAAAAAGATGTTTTTATAGCAATCTCATCCATCGTCATCTTGACCAATCGCGTCAGTTTATCCGGAGATCCGTACTCGCGCATAATCTGCCATAGCTGATCTCGATCGATTGTGTCGTATGCGGATTTGAAATCGATGAACACATGATGTGTATTCGCGGCATTTCTGCAGAACCTGCCGAATCGCGAAAATTTGGTCCGTGGTAGCGCGGGCACCCATGAATCCCGCTTGGTATTGTCCCACGAACTCTCTAGCATAGAATTTGGGAGAGTACCTTCCCGAGCAGGAACGAATATCTCGATACCTTAAATTGGTATGGATGAGCCTGACATAAGAGGTAAAATACCAAAAAATATTAACAAAAAATATTCCCGCAATACCATCCCAATACCAAATTTTGATAATGCAATACCAAAACAATACCACACAGGTATTCTTTTGGTATCCAAATATCAATTTTTGTTATTGAGAAAGTATTTTGCATGTAATTTTTTGGTATAATTCTTTGGTATTTCACCTCTTATGTCATGCTAGTCAATACCAACTTTTGGTATCTGGTCAGAATTAGGTATTCATTAGTTATTTTCTCCTGCTCGGGTTGTAGTCAACGCTTAGCAGTGTGATCGCGCGGTAGTTGCAGCAATCCAACTTGTCGCCCTTTTTGTAGATTGGGCATACGCAGGGGCCTCGTCTGAACCTCAATCTACCTGCTCAACAACTCTTAAAACGTGAACAAACAAAAAATATTGGTTCCAATGGATACAAATCAGTGAAACTAGAAGACCCTATGCCCTTTGAAACCGATTTGAATCCTGATGAATGTGGGCGTCTTAGTGGAATACCTGTATAATGAGAGAGAGAAGGATTAGTAATTTCCATTTAATTCCACAACTTATTTGCTTATCCTTGACAGATACGCATATTTCGTCTACAATGTGCAGACTTCTTCAGTGTCTTGTACTAATACTCGACTGGAGTATTAGTACAGGACACTGAAGAAGTCTGTACATTGTAGATGAAATACGCGTATCTGTCAAGGATAAGCAAATAAGGTAGTGGAATTAAATGGAAATTACTAATCCTTCTCTCTCCGATTTGAATGTTAAACGTGACCCTAAATAACGTTTTCAAAGTTGTTGAACAGGTAAAAAGTGAGGTTACGCGACGCCACTGCCGCATACGACACCTTTCATCCACTCGTCCAGTAATATCTCCTCCTCCCAAATCTTGGAAATTACCCAGTGCAGCGCTCTAGCCAGTGCTTTCCCGAGCAAAGTCCAGCATCAAAATGACAGCAAATTGAAATCAAGTTTTGATATCAACATCAAACTGAAATCATAATTTGATTTCAGTTTATGCAATTGACATTTCATTTCATTTTTGATTTCATTTTGCTGTACATTTGCTCTTCAAAAATATGTTGCTGCGGGTTTGTTTTCATTGCCTTAGCATAACATCACATTGAATACTTGTTTTGTTATCAACAGGAAAAATTGATATCAAATTGAGCTTTCAGTTTGCTCTCACTGATAGCAGAAATAGTTTTTAATGTGTTGTCACAGGAAGATTTGTTTTCCTCTCAATTTTGAAATTTTAACCGTTAAAACGACCAAAACGACAGCAACCTGAGTAATCCTTATCAGCGAAATCACAACATCCAATTTAGTTATCAATTTGATCTAAGACTTTGCTTGGGTGATCACCACCGTATTGTAATAGCTCACTTCCCGAGCAAAGTCTGAAATCAAATTGAAATCTAGATACATCCGATTGAAAGCGTACCGATTCTAAATTGTTTGTAAAAAAAATAAATGTCAAATATTGGATTACCAACCAATAGCAATAGTTTCTTTGTACTTACCCAAAGAATATTAGGTACAAGTTTTATCAAGGTTTAAAAGCAAGTTTACGTCGTAGTGTGGCATGGAGACAACTCCTCCGTACAGCAAATCTCGATTACTTTTTCAAAGGGACGTATCTGCTTTTGTAAACAAATATTCAAACGACATTTTGTCGATACTCTTAGCCAGTGCTGAGTTGCATCAAGGTACTGACAGCCTTTAGATTGACAAAAGAGATTCCTATGGTTAACAATCAACACAACTGAGAACCCTCTCTCCGTAAAACTTCTCACCAGTATGACACAACAACCGTGAGATATCGTTGTTTTGCTTTTCTCACTCATTCGCAATATCACTAACATCTGTCATGTGATACCATCATATCACCGAGGAAAAATAAACAGACATATAAATTGATCGTCATCTCATTTCGAGCATAAATACGGTTATGACGGTCATTCCTCTTCCAAAATCACAGATAAGGCGATAGCTGTGATGTATTAAGGAAAAAGTCTTATCCTGCGTTATACAATCGTATCATAACCATTTTCTCGCGAAACGAAACCTACATTCACAAACCTAAGACACAATCGGGAAGAGGAGAATTTCCCCTACCTGTTAATTTTGTTGATTTGCGTTGGCGGACTTCGGTTCGCGACAAAATGTAGTTGAGGCCTTTGCAATTGTTGGTCTTGAATTATTGAACGGTGCATTATAAATACACATTTTCTTCATTTGAGGTTTCAACAATCAAAGCAACCATTGGTATCCATCAACAAAGAAAACTTCAAATGGTTACGCAGTGTATTTAAATAAATCTTCGCTAAAATTAATAGCGAATTCTTTTTTTATTCAGTTCCAACCTGAATCGGGTATCAAGATTGGATCTGTTTGTCTTCTGACAAACGTCAGTTTTTTTGTTTGCTTTTAAAACCCAGCTCAGGTTGTGGTCCGCACTGACAAAAAGCTCGGTTTCGCATTTATTTTGTCGAAGGTCCAGCTGTTGGTTCCATGATGGCCTTGCAATTTTTCGGAGCAATTAAAAAATTTACGAATTTTCGCATCACTTTTCGCACGAAACATAGCCACGTTGAAAAGATATTTGTTTTGACAGTTAAATTCTCGTAAGCTTGTCAATTGTGAGCTGTGTCAGTTTTGAGACGCATAGGTTAAAGGGAATTGATATTGCCGATGGAACAGTGGCTTTAATTTGCAAGTTAAGAAATTGCATTTTTGAAGATAAATGGATATTTTTTCTACATTGTAACGTAACAGACCCACATATTTATTTGTTACAAGTAAAATGAAAATCCAACATTTTCTTCAAAATGTTTCGTATGTTTTGAACTTAACAACTTTTAGCAAGAACAGGAAAATGAAGAGCATTATTCTCACTTCCCACTTATAAATGTTCAACAGAGATAATCAGTGAGTGAATGATTTTGCTACTCTCTCCTTGTCATTTAATCTAACTGTCATGGGTGGCTTTGATGAAGACGGTCTAGTGAGGTAAAGGTGGTTCCAAGTGATATGCTAGTTGACCGTCATTTTTGAGATGTGACGGTTATGCGAGGATGACCGTCAAGCGACAATAACCGTTATGATAATGCACAGTACTGCTTTTAGCACTCACACGCAAACTAACACCGCCTGCAGAAAAGGTGATGTTCCCCAACAAGATGGTGTTTGCAAGCGAATGCTAAGAGTTTCGACAAATTGACGTTTGAATTTTTGTTTACAAAACCAGATACGTCCTTGTGAAAAAGTAATCGAGAAATGACACTCCGGCCTTAATCTGAATGGCAAGGTAAGTAAGTTTAAGTCATGGTAAATAGGACAAATGTTACTTGGGTAGAATAATCCTACTGGTTAAAAGGCTCCAAAATCCTACAAAAAATACTAATTACAGATGCCTGAGGAAAATCCTTATCTAGGATCGAATCTTAAGGCAGAGAAAAAAAAAAATACCAATCCATCTCACGTGTTGCCAATTCCATTAACAGACTCAAGCTGTAATGTTTAGATAGTTGATGATAGTAAGAATTTCATACCAGCGTTTGCCTAAACTATCGCATTTTTCTTAAAACACAATCGATAAATCTATGGCGAATGGCGTCAATTCGCCCGAATACCTCGCAGCTCACTAAATCCAACAACTCACCTCTCTCAGCTGTTCTTCCAGCATGTGATAACGGGCCTGCAGCACGGCGTACTCCGCCTTCGTCCTGCTGGTGCGATCCTCGACATTGTTCTGCGTGTCCGCCAGGTTCGTCACCTGTCGTTGTAGTATCTCTAGCTGCAATGGAAAACAGAAAAAAACAAGGTGTCGCAAATTAGCTTAGTCCAATTCACATAAATCGTCATCATTCTTAACTGGAATAGACAATACAAACGCGCAAACCAATTACTAATTTCAACGTAACTCGACCAAAGAGAAAAAAAAAGCAAATGAATCACATCCTTCCCGGGCACACTCTACTGATTGTTTTTTTTTTTTTTTTGAACGCAGCGAAAATTGCTCAGTGGCGTAATTTCCCTTTTGTGCAGAGTTCTTGCGCACTTATCTTAGGCAGGAGGACAACAGCGGGCGATGGAAAGCTAGTGGCGTATGTAGCCCCGTAACGCGACTTGGGAGATGAAGGCCCATCAATTTAAATTTGCTCGTGTCATTTTCCCGTTCGTTATGATGGTTAGGTCATCAAGCCCTGGAGCGACCGTTTGCTCCGGTTATGCCTTTTGCGAGCATCAAGAGTTTGTGGACTATTAAGACAAATTGGAATGGAACTGTCTCCCGGTTTAAAACGATTCAAAAAGAGGCGTTCTGATGTCTCATTTGATGCACTGATACGTAATGAGAAATGATTCACCCGAAAGAGACCACCAGTTTGATGAACTCGGTTTCGTCATCGAAAGGAAGGCGGTGAGAAATTATCACCGAAAAGGCACACTTCAACAGCAGCAGCGTTGCACTTGCGTAATATGGCATCGCGACGCAGAAGCTCAGTGAACCGTCATTCAATTTGTTCATTTTTTTTGTGTTACGATTTTTTTTTTGTGCAAATCATTGTCACCTCCCAGACAGGCCAGCATCACTCTTTGACGCTAAGCCGGTGCGGTGTGGTCTAAAAATAATCGCCACTCCGTTTTCCGTCGCTAGACATAAAAGGCGAGTTTGTAATTAATGTAGTGTGAGAAAAGTTATCAAAATGGATGAAGTAACAAACACTATTTCAAAAAAAAATATAATAATAAGCGAAACTTACCTGTTCATTCAAATTATCACATAGATCGGTTTTGATAAGGCCATTGATTTTGTTGTTCCCGTTGCTGGATTTGAGAATGTACTTATTCCCAAGCTCCGGGTTGTCGTTGATCAGCTTCAGATTGTTGTTGATGAGATTGTTTTTGGCATTCTTCTCCTCAACAATGACCGAGCTGATCAGGTTGTTGGTTTTGTTGTTCAGCAGCTTGTTGTTGAGTATACTACTGCTGTTGTTGTTGTTATTGTTTGTGATGAGACTGTTGTTGTTGTTCAGCTGTTGCGTTTCTAAGGCTCCGTTGTTGTACTCGTCCAGATAGAACCCGGAATGCGGTCCGGAAGGGGGAAAGTCATTCGGATGAAGACTCAGGAAGGTTTCCTCGTCGATCAGCACCGGCTGATCTGGAGGTATGTAGTCGTTTAAGCGTAAATCTTCCAGACTAGATGAAGCGGTGCGCGATTGTAGGGTGATACCGCTGCCACCACCATTGATGGTCACAGCGGAGGGATCCACCGTTGGGCCGACAAACTCGAACTGGCCCTGCCACATGTCGTAGTCCAGATCGAGACTGTCCGGCTGGCTGGTGGAGGATGGCGTTGCCGTCGACGTCGGAGTCGACGACAGATAGTCGACCTTCTTCGTGGAGGCCATCATTTTGAGCGGCGATAGTTTGTCACTAAGTCGGTGCCAATTCATTGGGCCGGCTGTGAGCGAGCATCATTTGCTGCTGATTGTTGGCGTGATTGCCGTTTTGTGGGGGATGAATACCCCCGGGAAGCAAGCGATATTTTTTACGACTGATTGACACTGAGGCACTGTTTAGTCTGTAGAATTTCGATAACACACTTAAGACTTCTGCAATAGAGAAATTGTCTTCTTCGAATACGTACTTCTTTCACATGTTTTTAAGAGGAATGAGGATTCTTTTTGCTAGGACGACGGATATCTGGTTGCTTATTGATTAGACACACTGGTCTACTACACTGAGGTAAACTTCAAACAAATCGACTAAAGTAGCATACAAACGCGTTTCATTAAAACCGAATTTCACATATCATGAACCAACTAGTAAGTATGGTAATTCAAGCGAAACATAAAAAGCTAATATAATTGTTTTTCAGAGTAGGTAAGATCCAACTGAATTTCAATGAGAAATGCCTCTCACGGAGACATTATTGCCTGCGATTAAGTGACATTTAGAAATGCAAATATTCAATCGCGATATAAACCTCCTCAATGGAAAACCTTCATCACCTTTTTCTTCCGAATCTCTACTTGGAAGAGTGGGGTAAGGCATCGGGAAAAATCCACCGACTTGACGTCTTATTTGTGCTGCACCACAGATGGTAATAGCCGCTCTCTTTTTCCAAATGACACTGATCTCGCTCAAAGAGATCGTGAACATAAAAAAAAAACGAAACTGAACCATAATTATTTCCGTGATCTCCCGTCCCGTTCCGAAGCATCTTTTGGGACCCAAAGCAGTTGTAACTGAACTTCCTTTCCGTCGTAAAATCTGTTACTTTTACGAATTTTGAATAGGTAGTCTGATATCAAAAAAGCGCCATCAAATCCGATTGTGGCGTTAAAAGAGGCACCAAATTTAGGTTAATGGCCTTTCAAAATGAGAGAAAAATAAACTGTATTTGAGAAAAGCCCACCTCGCACGTTATGATCATTATACTGCCCAGCTTAGCCGGCACTTGATTGTGTGGTAAAGTGCCTGTAATTGATAATTATGTTAACTGCCCCGAACGTGAGTCTACCACGGTGGTCCAAGTCCAATCAGTTTGATCATTAGCAAAAACAAAATCACTAGATCTAATCGTATACCTACACACTTTTCTTTGAAGCTACCGCTTGCATGGTACTAATTAAACACCACCCCCTTAAATCCAAATTTAGCAGTCAAAATAGATCACTTTCAATCACTGACGAATTGTGCAGAAAGGTACTTTCGATCTTCGCATTTTCTATTATACCTTAAATCACCCGCCGTGCGAGTTCGGGAAACGGATCTGGCTTCGTTAACGAAAAAAAAAAAAAAAAATCAAGCTCTGAAGGTTGCCCCGAAAAAAAAACAAATCCTGCCAAGTGCACGGCCGAGCAGAAATCAAGCGATCAAGCGATGAAGATTGCGTGCGGCACGTGATTTTTTGTGATGTTTTCCAAATTTATGGCACAGCGAAAGAAATTCGCTTTTAACTACATACCCACCTAGATGAAATGCCACTGTGCACGGGTAGGCAGGCTGCCAACTGGCTATAATAATAGCCTTGCAGAACTCATCAGAGGTTAACAACTCGGATGTTGTTTGCCTAACTCAACTTAGTTTGAAGAAGTTGTTTTGTTTCGTGTCAATGACGAATGAGGCAGTGAGAGTGATTTCATGGAAAGGGAATTTGAACCGTCGATTTCAATTACCAAAACGAAACTCTCAATATTCGCACGTTTTACAGTTCCTATTTTACCTGCTTTGGAGAAGATTTATTGGCGATTGTTATCAATGTTATCTAATCCGAGTTGAAGGGAACGGGACAATTATCATAATCGTGGCTATCCTCCATTACAGACACTTCCTAATCGGGCTCAAATCATGATCTCCGCCGACCTGGCTACCGGTCCGAGTCGAGATTCCCACGATTGCTTAAGATCTTCGCTTACTTAGTAGGGTGACTAACAGAACTGCCGAAGAAGAAAGTGAGAGTCGCTCGCTGCTCCATAAATGGTAGCGGGAGGCGCAGGCTGATGCATTTCCGAGCCACTTCTCCGTAGGCAAACAAAAATGGTGCGATAGCTTGTCTATGGTCATTATATCGCTTCAGATCAGATCAAATGTGCAGTGCCGAAAGTGGCCGCTATCATTATTTTATTATCGCGATAGTGCATTTCGTAACCGTTGCACTGGACTGTGCACAATCGCCACCATAAGTGGAAAATTGACTAAATGCATATCTTGAGTACATTTTTATCGAGACTGGTAATTTTTTGACTAGAAAACTTTCAATGAATGAGTTGTGAATTGATTTACTAGGAAGACAGAGTTGGCAGAAGAAGGGTGTTTGACCAACTGGACTGGTCTTCAATGACTGAATGATTTCTAGCTTACCATGACTTAAACAGATATTGACGACCTTCCTTATACATGGTGTATGTTTTTAAGATTTTCTACACTTAGAAATATTTTCAGACTATTCGGACTTGGCAATTTTTTTGAGAGTTCTCTGACTGTGATTTTTGATTTTTTCCGGAATAGAAGACATACATCTTCTGAAATTTGAAAGATTCAAGCAAGCATTAAAAATACAATGCACAGTAGTCCATTAATGAAAATTAGGAGGAAGGGAGATTGCTTCTTTACCAGCATAGTGTCTTGTGTGAAGTTGTAACTTATTTTTTTTGTTCTTTAATTTATTTGATAAGGCTCAAACGAATTAACTTTACAGAGCCGAGGATTCTTGGTCACTATACCAGACATCTTAAAACTATAGTCGAACGGTACAACACAATAAACACTTTATCTTCCGCTATCCAAAAAGCCTCCTTCATCAGAACTGGAGCCGCTTCCAGAGGTTTCATTGTATGGCAGTATCGCCAACGGGGTCAGAGCGCTTCCATTGCAGCAATGGACGCAAAACGTGGTCAGCAGTCACACACTCATCACTAAACGGTTGCTTTCCAAAGTCGACGACGCATCGACCGAAAGAACTGCTGCTGATGAAGAACAATGAGGAGGACCACACAATGGTTGCTGCCGAGAAAATAGACGATCGCGTGGCACACATTGAGAGTGAGTTGTAACTTATAATAAGACTTAATAATAAAATAATTTGATTAATAATTTGATGAAAGTTGGAAATAAGGTGGTATTTAAAATGACAAAAAATAAAATTTACTATGTTAATTTTTCATTATATCATCATCAAGGAATCAAAAATACCTCAAAATGACAAAATAACAAGCAATCAACGAGCCGAATGATAACGCTTTGTCAGCAATGGAAAGCAATAATGATATAATCTTCTTCCCTTTTTTC